ACCCTACCTTTCTCCTGCCCCGTTTTCTCCTTCCTTCCCTTCGCCCTCTAATCTTTTCTCCTCTTCAGCGCCCCTGCTTTCCTCTCTCTCTGTCTCCTGTGCTCCCTACCCTGTGGTCTAACCTCGTCCACCACCTTCTCTCTTTGGAGCCTTTAAAGGTCAATGATTATGTTTCTCCACCTCCCTCCTGCTTCCCTGACACCCAGGAGAGCCTCAGACGTCTCCCCTCCAGCAGCCGGGACCCTTTAGCCTCCAGCCTGGGCCTGATGGAGGTGTCTGGAAACTACAAAGAGAGGCCACAACCTTTTATATTTTTATAATAATGAACCGGAACAAACCCCACGAATTTTCCCCTCCCTCCCCTCTCCCGGGATATATTGCGTGGAAATCTGTATGTTCTCAGTGCTCAGTGACTGAACAATAGAAGTTGGGGTACGGGGAGGGGGCGCTGGGGCCATTGGCATTTTCTCTAGTTGAAAATGTGAGCCCTAGAGGTGTCTCCCTCTTCCCCCACCCCTCTGCACACCTAACCCGAGGGAATCTGGCCCACGGTAAATGCATAAGCACTATTTCTGGTGTTGGGAGGGGCATTTGTTAATTTAAATTACAGACTGCTTCCGGGTACGAAGGTGCAATCTGGCTTCTGGTTTGCAAGGGATTGGGGGTCAGAAAACCCCCTGAAAGTATCTTCTAGAATGAGACACAAGAGCTGTTAACTTCTTCCAGGTTCAGGGGCACTGGTGGCGGGACCCTGGACATAAACTGCAACTTTTATAGTCATGAACGTGTCACTGGCGAGAGTCTGGCACCACCTGTTCAACGCAGAGGCCTTTGAATAAAGGAGAGCACCTGAAGGCTTTGTAAGAATGAACTGGTCTGTGTCCAGTCTAGAGTGCTGTGTAGGCATGCCTCACCTACTCAAACCCGGAGTTTGTGGCACAAACACTATTAAGACAAAATTATTTTATTGGTTTATTCATTAGCACTTACCGCCCAGGTTGGGCAGGAAGTGGAAGAGAAAGTGAAATGGGAGGAGCATTTTCCAGGATTCCTCCCAGGAAGCCCCAGGTGAGGCCTGGGAAACGGAGGAAGAGAGGCAATATGCAGAAATCATCCTAAGATGAAGTTACTCCTGAGAGGAATAAAGTGGCCAAAAGGCAGTGAGCAAAAATGGAGGTCTTCTTCAGAACATTTCTAATTCTGAAAGCTAAGGAAAATTATTCGGGGCCGCCAAAGGATCTAGGGCAGTGGTTCTCAACCTTCCTAATGCTGCGACCCTTTCATACAGTTCCTCATGTTGTGGTGACCCCCAACCATAAAATTATTTTCGTTGCTACTTCATAACTGTAATTTTGCTACTGTGATGAATCGTAATGTAAATATCTGATATGCAGGATGTATTTTCATTGTTACAAATTGAACATAATGAAAGCATAGTGATTAATCACAAAAACAATATGTAATTATATATGTGTTTTCTGATGGTCTTAGGCGACCCCTGTGAAAGGGTCGTTCAACCCCCCAAAGGGATCACGACCCACAGGTTGAGAACCGCTGATCTAGGGATTTCTAAGTACAAAGGGGTCATTGGCTTGTTGTTTTGGTGTTCTTTCCTGCGTTTGGTTTTCTAAAACGAACAGAAGAGATTTTTGAATTGAAGGTTTTGCTTGTAAGTGGAGCTGCCTGTTTGGATGCGTGTGGAGGGAACCAGTGGGAAAACTCTTTGTGTTGCATCTTGTCATCATACCTGCTGAAGGTATTAATCATAATAGAACATCTGCCCTTTTCACATTGAAACTTTCCTCAGGTTTTGAAGTCTCTTGCCTTTCGAAAGGTTCCATATTATAGATAGGAATATCGAGGGCTAGCCATTGGGTTTATTTTCTCTGGACTATACAGCAAGCTATGAATTACAGGGCATTAGCACAAACACTGGATGATCCCATCTCCCCAGAAAGCCAGGATGGGGGCTTGAACTTTGAGCCTGGGGTCGGCAGCCTATGGTGCCAGCATTTCCTGTAGAAAAGCTGGTCACAATGAAAATAGGAATAAAATAAGAAAAATGCTTTCAAATCCCCCCTCCCCCATCCCCTCCTCTCAGCCTGTTCTCACTTGCTTAGATAAGCTTTACATACTCAATCATCCGCAGCGTTTTCATGTGCCCCTCTTTGCTGCCTGGAGGAGGACTGGCTTGCCTGGGCCAGGAAGAAGGCATTTCAGCAACCCAGGATGAATGGAAGGTGCCTGTGTTGTAAAGACCACCTTCAGAGTGAGGAGCTTTTCAAATCTGTCCCCTGTGGCTCCCTGAACCTGTGGCTGCAGGTGAGTCTTTCCCAGTTCCTTGGCTCTGGGGTGAGCATTCACGGAGGAGGGCAGCGCCCAGTGCCACGTTTCACATGGGGTATGTTGGGAGACTCCTTTACCCTTGACCCTGAGGGCCATGGGAAGTCCCAGTGAGCTTGGGTTAAATCCCTGCTCCACCGAAGTGTGACGAGGCCTGTGAGGTCTCTATAAGCCTTCGTGTTTCTACTTGTGAACTGCGTGCTTCAATGTGGTGACACCCACGGGGACCTGGTCTGGAGACAGGCTGGCCCTGGAGTCGCTTCACCTCCCTGGAGAGAATTTTGCTGGTAACAGAAAGTAGGGGAGTCATTTCAATGGTTGATGGGGGCCCTGAATTTAAACATTTTTCAAAAGATCTCATTGAATATTGTATTTTTGTTCTCTATGCAGAGGGATCCGTGGAGGTACTGGGGATGCATGATAAAAGTACATAGTACCATGTCAGTTAGAATAACTGGAGGAAGGATTGCTCCCCAAAGGCAACTGGTCTTTGCCCTAGCACCTGCCTTTTCCTTTTTAATTTAAGAGTAAAGTTTAAAAAAATTAAACAATATATATTTCTATTGATTTTTAGAGAGGAAGGGAGACAAAAGAGAGGTAGACACATCGATGAGAGCGAAACATCATTGATCAGCGTGCCCCCTACTGGGGATCAAGCCCTCAACCTGGGCATGTGCCCTAACCAGGAATCAACACATGACCTCTTGGTTCATTGGTTGATGCTTAACCACTTGGCCACACTGGCCGGACAAGAGTAAGTTTTTTTTAAATATAGGGAGTACTGAAAAACATAAAAGACATGTAATCAGTCAGATAACCTTTTGATTTTTGAAAGAATCAAAGTTATATATGTATATATATAACGTATACACACACGCACATCATTAGAAAATTTTAGCAGTATAAAAGCCTTGAAATGAAAAGTGAAAGTTTCTTCCTAGCCTCATTTCTGTTCTTAAAGGTGAACTTTGTAACAGTCTTTTGTGAATCCTTCCAGGACAAAAAAATGCAGACAGCAGAATATCTCTGTTTCTGTACATGTGCTACTTAAGAGCTCACAGCAAGGAGCTGTGCTAGGTACACACAGATACGGTCTGGACATCTGATGATTATATACAGACCCTTCAGCTCCGCCGTATCCACTTTATTCTATTGAATGGATGCATAGCAAAGGAGTTTATTAAGAATAGCATTTGTAGAGAGGACTGCCTTTGTGCTTTAAACGAATAAAGATAATTTTGTCGCATTCATTATTGGAGGAAGTGCTTAGAACAGATTGCAAGAACACCTTTCCTCAGGGAAAGGTGCTGCTTTTTGGCAAGGAGGAAGGGAGGAAGCAAACATAGAAAAGGGGACAGAGGGACAAGAGACACAGAGCACTGTCCGTCTTGAAGGCAAGCTGACTTTTTCTACAGATCCTTGGTGGGCAGTCAAAGCCACAGTGGGCTGGTGAGAGCCATTTTCCTTTCCTTGGAAGGATGTCAGACTCTCCAGGTTAGGAAAGAGAGGGGGGGGGGCAAAGGGATGAGAAAGAACCTTGTTTGAAGAGATATTGAATAGGAATAAAATGCAACAGCCAATACCAGCACAAGCATTTTTTTTATCCATCCCAAGTTCACTTGAAATCTATGTGGCATTAACCTCCAGATGGGTGAGCCTTGCTCATTGGCAAGTGTGTTTCCCTGTTAGCTTGTTTCTTGACTCCTGGTAAAGAGGATGGGATTTATTCAATTGAACATTGGTCTGGGTTAAAGCGCTCTGTAGGTCTCCCGGCATTAGCTTCTCTAACTAGAATTGTTACATTCTCTGGGTTTCTTTTCCAAAGAAACTCTACCTGCTCCATGTTACGCTGGTCGACGTGAATTGAGAATCTTGCCAAAATGTGCCCAAGGAGCACATGAAAGGATCGTGCATCTAGACAGGCTACGTAATGAGAAACATTCGAGCCTCTTCTTTTAATGGGTGGGAATTATGCACAAAATGGTATTTGTTCTTCACCTTGACCTCGCCGTCTGAACTATCGCCTCACTCACTGAAGAAATGTCTTGTGACTAAGATATTTCTGGCTAAACTATTGGATCTCAACTAAATAAAATCCTTCTGTTATTGGATTCTTCTTCTTCTTTTTTTTAGGGCAGAGCAAGGAGGAATCACACTGTCTTCTTTTTCAAGGCATTAAAATGAGAACCACACATTTACCCCCAATCCAACTTGGGAATTCTAAACACTTGGGACAATTTATATTCAATTTATTCTAGTCTCTTCTTTGCAGTTGAAACTGGCAAAACCCCCGATTCGCTCTGAAGAGCTTTCTCCAGGAGAAGTGGTCTTGTGGTCCTCCTTGGAAGTCTGTTCTGAGCTGGCCAAACCCCAAAGTGGAATCCCAATTATGGGAGATGGGATTTCCACTGCTTTACAGTTTAACCACCTGGGTTGACTCTACTCTCCATTTTCTTCTGAAGGATGAAATAAGCTGGTCAAGTGTTCATTCAGCTATTAAATTACATTTCCATCCTGTAACTTTTTATTTCCTTTTTCTCTGGTGAGATATATTGACTCGGTGGATTATCTCCAGTCTCTTATACTGGCCAAACAATGTTCACTTTTGGGAGTTCTCTCAGCTGCTGGTGGATGTGGTTTTAGCTTTGTAAGATTTTATTTTACCCCCAATAACAAACAACAGAACAAACATTCTTTAACTAGTGGTTTTGATTTAATAAAAATAAATCGCATGGATGAAAATTGAGCAAGATATTTGAATAAATTGAAGGAAATTGAATTTTTTAAAAAAGAGTTGAATTGGAACCTAAAATTGCGAAACATCAAAAAGAAAAAAAAGGCTCCTTTGGGGAACAAGTTGTATTAGGACTAACTTGATCTAAGATGCTAAAGATATCATTGTGACCACCAGGGGGAGCACACATTGTTCCACGAAGATAGAGATTAAAAACAAAGACAACACAAAACAAAAATTTCATCATTTGCTTAAAGTGGTAAACTGTGCTGTTGTGAACAACCTCTGCTTACAAGAGGAGTACTTTTGGTGTTTTTATTATTATGATAATTGATAATTAGGTGCTTTGACTCTGAACAAAGAAGACAGTCTGGGCATTTGGTGAAAAATGGGTTTTCTAGGCTCAGCCAAGTGGGAATTATCAAATTATTTAGCTGAGAAGTCAAGAGCACCTCAAAAATAAGTTTCACTTCTAACTTTGACTCCAATCTATACGTATATCCAATTCGTTGAATATAGACCAAGTAAGTATGTGCTTTAAAAAGCAACCTAACTGAAACTGATGTTTTTAGGAAATGAAATAAATTTTATCTGTATTTGTGAAATTTTGATATTTTTTCATTAATTTTCATTTAAGTATCCTTAATTTTGAGCAATGTGTCCATTTTCAGTCATCTCTTTGAAGTTCTCAATCATTTAAAGTCACAATTCACATTTGAAGTAAGGATTAATATATCATGAGAAGCAGCAAACAGCAAGAAAAATAACTATTTCCTTACTTTTCTATTTATTTTAGGATGAAATCCAGAAGGTGGCTTATAGGTTGCTACAGAGATTTTTTCCCCCTTAGTTTTAAAAAAGAAAGGGAACCTTTCTTTCTATATTTAACCTAGACTTTTACATATATTAAACTCAGATTACCAACTGTGGATACCCCCCTGCGGGAAGCAGTCTGGGAAGAGGTGTGGTGTACAGTGCATACAAGTTGGCAGAGCTGGCTGGGTTCAAATATCAGTTTTAACACTTAGTAACTGTGTCACTCTGGGTAACTTTAGACCAGACTAAAGTTTCCTGTCTGTTTAATGGGGCTAATATGTCCCACGCTGGGCCGTTGTGATGATTACATTTGACGTGTAAAGAGTAGAGTTGCTTTGGGTCCTGGTCAGTCATTATTAGTACTATTATTGTTGTTGTTTTCCTTTTCTTCTCTTTCTGAGTTCCCTGTAGACATTTTAGGGTGACATTAATCATACCACAGCCCTGCAGACCATATTTGCAGAGACCATCAAGACTGCTGATGCTAGTCTCTGAATTTTTCAACAGCATCAGAGAGAGATGCCACTGTCAGCTGCTTATAAAATCTGATGGCCCTGGGGCATTCACCAGGACTTTAGGAGTATGGACTTGATGACTTTATGGCTCAACCTGTGAGGATTGGCTCAGTAGCCATCATTACTGCATTGAAGTTGGTCTGATATGGCAAGTCCATTTAGATCAATGTTGAGCAGCCAGGCTTCCTGTCATGTAAACAGACCAGAAATTGTGTAGAGACCTTGTCCTATTCTGTTCACATAAAGGGAGCTAACCAGCCTGTTGCCTCTGTTGCTGATCTTAGCTGCATTGAGCTTTGGCTTGTGCCTTCCTGCTCTTTGCTGCGTAAATGAAGTTGGTTAAGATAAAGCCACTTCGTTTCCCACTCTATCCCTTTGGCTGGCTGCCATGGGGGACACACCACTGGGGAGCCAGAGAGATAGCACAAAAGCCTTCAACTCAGCATCTTCAGGGAGAGTCTCACGTTGAAAGTCTTCCCACTTGGAAGACCCTAAGAGACTTTGAGAGCAATCCGAAGAGGAACTGACCTGTCCCATCAGGTGTCCATTTCAAAGTTCAAAATGTAGGTGAGCTCTTCGTGTATTGCTGAAGTTTAATTAGAGGAAATCCGCAAGTGTGCCAAGCCTTAAGGAAACACACACCAAATTTGTGTGACGAAATAACATTTAAAAGGTAGCTTTATAACTTAGTATTTTACTAACACTTATATACATCCATTAGGATCTTACTTAACAATGCTTCTTTGCTCCACAGGGTGTCAGGGGTTTATTACAAAAGCTTGTAGCCTTATCAATCAAGTGTGAAAGGCGCACATGAATTGAATATGGCAGTTGGGTTCTGACTCAAAATTATTTACAGTTCATTCTCACAAGCCAGAGACTTTCAAAAGTAAACAAAGACATTGAAAAGTGCAAAGTGTAAATGGATTTTTATAAACATATGTGTTTCATTCCTCATTAATATGCATGAATTTAAAAATTAAAAAGAAAATGTGTTGGCTACAATGTGTTTTTAGTTCTTATTTAGATTTTAAAAATAGTCAAAGGTGCCTAAGATATTCAAAACTGAGCAGACTCCTCTACCCCATGATGCCATTTGAACCATGAGATGATGATTAACACTGCTCCCAAAATAGTGCTTTTCTGAAAGAAGCTCCAGAGTGGCACTGGTAATTTGAATTTCTATTTTTGAGCACATTCTATAGTTTATGGCCAGACTAATTTCTTCCTGTACAACCTTCCAGGTTGCTATGCTTAGCACACAATCACTCTTTTTAAATTTGGATAACGCCATAGTCAAGTCAAACAGTTGAGGCTTCCTGATAACATTTACATTGAAGTGGAAGAGGCCTCGGAGAGGAAAAAAGTGCAGGGAAGGCAATGATCGGGCCCTTGTGGGCTCATGGAATGGATACTGTCAGTAATGTGAAATAATGTTTGTTTCCAAGTTGTGCTTGAAATCAGTAAAAGATCTACCGTTCAGTCAAGAATATGGCCAATGTTTTATTTTTAATTCTCATGGTAACATAGCCTCAGATAATTATTCAGGTTTTAGTAAGCTCAGCATCAGAAGAAATTTTGCCTGCAAGAATTTCATTCTATTTAGCTAAGTGAAAACAAATTAGCATAGATAATTTTTGCTTGCAAGTTCCACTTTCAGTTGTGATGACATCAATTGCTATAACAGTGGTAAGTATTGGTTCAGCAAAAGATTTCTTTTGAGAGTTTAATACACATTTAATAATAAATGATCTAGTTAACTTCCATCTATTTTTATCAGCGTAGAGCCATTAAACTCAGGATTTTTTGGATAAAAATAAAATTTCATACCCTCATACATGTAAAATATTCTTGTTTCAAAATAAGTAATATGGCTTTAAAAAAGTAATATTAGGAGAAGAGGTTTTACTTTTGAAGGCCACGCCCCCCCGCCCTTTTTATAGGACATTGTGATATGAATGGGAAGCTGGAGTCCCTTATTTGTCCCAAGCTTTTTAGAGAAGATAAAAAGATACACATTGGTTATAACTAATGTCCAGGCCACAATTTTTAAAGCTAGGGTGTGGAGAACAGGCTGCACAAACACACTATCTATACTAAGAAAAGGGTAATATGCTAATTAGACCAGACATCTTCCATACATCCTTCCAGACGTCCTTCCGGACAAAGCCACAGTGGTGGGGGTGAGGCAGAGACAGTTAGGGGCAATAAGGTAGGCAGGGGAGAGCAGTTGGGGCAATCAGGCCAG